GAGCGCTCAGCCCCAAGGCGGGGGCTGGATGGGGACATGGGGATGTGAGAGATGTGGGGCAGCAGGGAGGGGGCTTCAACACAGGACGGGGGACATGGGGCTCACCTTGAAGAGGGTGATGCTCTGGAGCACCCCTGACGTGCAGCACATCTCCCGGATGGAGTGCATAGCCAGCTGCGGGCAGCCGATGTCCAGAACAAGCAGACCCCACCAGAATGGGGCCGATGGTGGTGCCGCAGGGCGTGTCGTTGCGCACCATGAACTCCTGCACGGGGACACAGCCTCAGCAGCTCCCCACACTGCCCCATGGCCTCCCACATGGGCCTCCACGAGGGAGGCAACCTCGGACAGGGAAGCACCACCATCCCCGAGCCAGAGTGCAAAATCCCCCAGAGATGGGATATGTTCAGGCCAGGCCCTCCCCTCCTGTTTCCGAGCTTGCTCCCAAGGCAGCCCTGGAGCTGGAGCCCCAGAGCAGCAGGCACTGCAGACCCTGGCGGGGATGGACGTGGTAACTGATGGGCCTCCACGAGGGAGGCAACCTCGGACAGGGAAGCACCACCATCCCCGAGCCAGAGTGCAAAATCCCCCAGAGATGGGATATGTTCAGGCCAGGCCCTCCCCTCCTGTTTCCGAGCTTGCTCCCAAGGCAGCCCTGGAGCTGGAGCCCCAGAGCAGCAGGCACTGCAGACCCTGGCGGGGATGGACGTGGTAACTGAGGGGCAGGGGTCTGGCACAGGCCCCCTCTCCTGAACCCCGAGGCAGGGCCGTGGCCCAAGCTGGTAACATTCCAGGAGGGCTCGCCCAGCCCTGCTCACCTGCAGAGGGACACCCACGCGGGCGGCGATGTCCCGGATGACTGCTTCGGTGACAGCCGTGGAGGCGTAGCGCTGGTTGCTGTTCACTTTGATGACGGGGCCCTGCACAGTGGAAGGCACCGCAGGCCCACGATTGGCACTGGGGACAGTCGGTGGCTCCGGAAACACCCGTGCCCAGGCAATGCCATCCCACCCCAAACCACCAGTCCATTCTCTCCTCCCTGGGTAATCCATGGGGAGGGGGACAGCCCTGCCATGGGGACAGCCCCAGCTCAGAGCAGGGAAGGGCTCCAGGGCCAAGGCTGTGGTCCCAAATGATTAACACCAGACGTGTGGCACGGCCAAATTGTGCTGTGGGACAGACGTTTCCCATTTGAGTGCCATTGAGTTGCACCCCAGGACCATGCTCCAGGGAGTGGCTGGGCATTTCACAGCACTGCAGGACAGATGGACAGCGCCAGTCCCAGCCCAAAGCAGAAGGCTGCCCTCACCTTGTGGAAGGCTGGACGATGATTCTCCTCATGCTTGTCCCTGCAAAAGCGAAGCAGGAGTTTCATGCTACAGCCCTCCCTCCCTGTCACAACAAGGACTGTCCTGCCTGTACTCCCTGAGGAATGATGGGGATACGTCCCCCCAGCTGGCAGGGCAGGCTGCCCTCGCCTGCAGCACTGCTCAGACTACTCACACGTAGTTGGGGTGCACAGCGTGGGCCATATCAGCACTGATCATGTAGGACTTGGCCACGGCCTCCTCGAAGGCTGTCAGGTTTTGCGGCGATGCCGAGATCCGGCGCAGCACCAGCTCCGTCAGCAAGGACTCTGCACCCTGTGCACTCTCTGACCCTACCTGCCAAGGATCACCATCAGCATGACCCACGTGGCACAGCCCCCCGGCACCCCAGGGGCCGGCTGAGTTACAGGGGGCTCCCCAAAGCCAGCAGAGCACCTTCCAACCACACCAGTGCTTCCCACCCCCTGCCTGGGCCGTGCTCCACGGCGGGGTAAGCAAATCCCACCCTGACCGGCTGGGGCCTGGGATCTCTCTCCTGCTAGGCATGGCTGGGGTAGAGTGAAGAACATGGAGCCCCTCCCTGTGCCTGCCACCCCACGTCTGTGCCCCTCGCTCACCTCCTCGTTGTCGTAGAGTGCGATGAGACGCACATTGGGCTCCTGGGAGAGTGAGGAGGGCGCCGCACACGAGTCAATCAAGGCCTGCAGGGTTAGAGGAGAAAGGACACCAGCTTGAGTGCCACACCATCCTGTGAAGCTCAGCACTGAGCCGGCAGGAACTTCCCCAGGAAAGCCCAAAGCACCAGGGAAGGGAGCTGTGGGTGCACACATTGCCCAGTGAGAGCAGGAGTCACCCCTGGGAGCTGCTGGGAACCCCACACACCCAGCAAAGAGGCAGCCCCCATTCAACCCCAGATCTCCAACAAGCCAGACCCACCCCATACGACACGCCTCCATGCAGAGCCTCGGGCAAGCCCACGGCCCTGCTAAGCTGAGCCGGGGTGTGCAGGGGCCACTCTGCGGCCTCCAGGCTCTTTTCCCCCTCCTGCTCACCTGCAGGGCGCAGTAGCAGCTGTGCAGATTGTCCAGGCGTGGGGAGAAGATGAACTCGTCGAAGGCACCACCCAGTGTCTGCAGACAGAGAGCCAGGAGGAGCAGGGCACAGGCTCAGAAAGTACCTGCCTCTGGGTCCCCATTCCAGTCCCCTCATCTCTGCCCCTCAGGGACTACCTCCTCTCATTCTGCTTGGCTCCCAGCCCTGGCACGCCTCAGACAGAGGAAGCGTGCCGGGTAAAACCCGTGCAGTGCCAGCCCACAGGCTGTGTGCAGGCAGAGGGAGGCTCCTGCCCTTACTCACCGCTGGCTGCGTATCTGCCAGGCATAGCTCCAGCTCCACAATCTGCTCTGGTTTCACCCCCAGCTGGGGGCAGAGCAGGGAAAGCAGGACAGGGCTGTGCCGCTCTGCCTGGGAAGAAAGCACAGCTGCAGGCAGGGAAGGCAGCGGATGGCAGGGGAAATTCCCTGTCCCCCCTGGCAGAGCCATCCCACACCCCGCTCATGTTGGCACGGTTCTCTCTCCTACTAACACGTCCCATGTTCAAGCCCCCACCTCACACAGGACAGCAGGGTCATTTGCAGGGTGCAGCGAGGGGCTCTCTGCCCCCTGCACAATCCTCCCTCCCTGCCCTGCCTCCCCGGGGAGACTGTGACAGCTTTACAGGGGCTACACCCCCTTCTATACAATGGCTGTAGACCCAGGTGGGAACAGAGAGATGGCTGAGCAGATGTGTTGTGTACACAGTGCTGGGGCAGAGCGGAAGGTTACCAGCAGTCCATGGGGAGAAGGGGAACCTGCTGGCAGGTCCCTGAGGACTGGAAATCAAAGGTGACAAGTATGAGGTCCTAGCAAGTGCCCCTGCTAGTCCTTGGCACTTGTCTCACCTGGGCTGCAGCATCGCAAGGTGTAGCCTCCATGAGCACCTCCTTTTCCAGCTCCTCCTGCACAGCAGTGGCCAGAATGGGAACCCTGTGGGAAGACAGTGCCTTTAGCTCCCAGGGCTTTGCTCACCTTTCCTGCTTGGGTCACACAACCAACCCTGCCTGGGGTGCCTGCCTTGCTCCTCCAGGGAGCAATTGCTATGCTGAACGGAGCAAGGACACACAACATTTCAAGCACAGATCTATCGTGCCACCTCAGGACACCCCAGTGTCCCTTCCCAAGTCCCAAGCTTGGAAGCATCTCCTGGGAGGACTCTATGGGGCTAAGAAAAGCCATTGCAGACCTCCCCACTGCGATGAGCGGCTGCCAAAGGGAGAGAGCTGAGGCTGGGCACTGCTCCAGCTGGGTCCCAGCCCTCCCGAGGGCTGGCCAGGGGTCAGGGCTGAGCCAGGCCTTACAGGTGGTGCTCGGTGTTGGGCCCAAAGTTCTCATTGATGCTGCGCTGCAGGTGGATGGCCAGGTGAGGAATGCGGAGGACGGGCCGCTCCACACGTACCAGGCGCTGCTCCAGGCGCCCCGTGGCTGGGTCCTGAAATACAAGGAGGACTGCTGGGGCCAGGCCTGCAGGGCTGAGAGGTTGCAGTAGGTCCCACTCTGGGTGGGAGTCATGGACCCAGAGAGAGGAGCACACAGCTAGCCCACCTATGCCAAATCAGGCTCACCTTTATGATCACCCTCCCAGCCACAGTGAGGTCACGGTCAAACCAGGTGTTCCAGATGCCCCCTCCGTAGGTCTCCACGCCGACCTGCACCATGCCCACCTGCCCCCGCTTAGAACGCCGCTTCACCTGGGTGAGAGCAGAGGTGTCACTGTCGGCACCACAGAGCCCCAGGGACTGGGTAACTGGTGGGGACCAGGCAGAGTGTGCCCAGAATCTCATCGCTGACCCTGTCAGCGTAGGGTGCTGTGAGGTGCTTTGTGCAACAGGGACACAGAGACAGTAACAGCAGGTGGAGCAACGCAGGAGGCCAGCATGGGCTGCTCTGGGTGGCAGATTTGGGAGGTGCAGGGGCCCAGCAACGGTGTTGTGGGGCATGGGGGTAG